ACTTTTATATTTTTAAGATCCACCATGTTTCAAGAGGAATATAAGCTGAAATAATGATTATCTAGGGGGTTTCTTTGTAGAAAATAAAAATAGATGTTAGTCTTGATGAAATATCCAAACTTAAATATATTTTGACACTGGTCCATGATCGTTGAATGGCCCCTTTGCACTACTTGTTGCACCTTTAAGCTTCTTAGAACTAAGATGATTTTGAAAAAAATGGTCAATTTAAAGCAAGTTGAAAAATACTTTTTGACCTTGTTTTCCTAAAAAGCATATCGATGATTTTTAACAAAATTGGTAAATGATTTTGAAAAATACTTTTTTGACCTTTTTTCCTAAGAAGCATATCGATTCAAAAATAATTCTAGAAGATCTAACATATTCAACTATACCGTGAGTCTATTCATTTATCAATTCAATCAATAGTAAACTTTCTCCTGAAAAAAGAAATCTTTCTAATTTGTTGAATTTTCTAGCTGAAATCGCCTGCTCCCCTCCATTCAATTTGTCCGACCAACGGTCGCTGGAATTATCGAAAGTAATTGCGGCTGTATGAAGAAATGGTAATAATTTGAAGATTGAAGAAAGTTACGGTTCTTACATTCGCATTGAAACGGAAAGTGTCGATTTCGATAATATTAGTTTTCATCGAATTAAACTATTTTATAGTTAAGAAATATAGACCGAAGAGCAGGGCTACTAGTTTCGAATACACCCCGCATGGTCTAGGCACAAACGTTTTCTGTAAAGTTTTTTATTGACATTTCGGGACTCTCCCTGCCATATTGAATTTTGCAGACGAGTCGGAGAGGAGGAATGCGACAAGAACGGAACGGCCTAAACTGACCAATAAGTTCACTGAACGAAACACTTAGTACAGAGCCGGGGAATTGATCTCGAATATAACCCAGCTGAAGCATTGACTTTGTCCACAGTTTATAGAAGGCATGAATCTCGTACAGTCATGTTCGAATTGAAATTATGCTTTGATATTCTTTGAACTAGATCAGGCTTATTACATGACATAGAAACTCTGGAGTATGATCATTTGTTCTTATACCATGTGTAAAAATTCTTGAATGATCACTGAATAACGTTGATGTTTTGCTCTCATTATGACATGTATGATAAACATAAGGATATTTTGGAACAAAAACGGAATGCGATCAAATTAGTAGCAAAATTGCCTCTAATTGATAAAGAGTTATTAATATGTATCTTGTAATTTACTTTGTCTCCAAAGTCTTGAACATTACTAGGATCGCTGATTGTTCAAACAAGTGTATGTTGATCCATTTATTCAAGATACAAATTATTTTAAGATGACCTTCTGTATTAATGTATAAATTGCGCAATAGTTGTTAAACAGGGTGAGTCAAAAAACGTAACACAAACAAATGTTAATAACTCAGTCATCCACCATGGATTTAGGCCTTACGTCATGATCCATACGCCTACTGTACCGTTTACTATACCCGTGACAGTTAGTTTCAGTATTTTGGTGTGTCTAGAATTAGTAGTACAGTAGTAGTTATTCCTCGCTATCAATTCGAATGAAACATGACAGAACCAACATGATGCCCGACTGCTATCGTCTTAACGTAACACGTCACTAGTAGGATCGGAGTAAGACCGTTATGTCATGTTTCCAAGAACGTGAGAGAAGGTGAAAACTACCTTCGTGTGGTGTATCTCAGTAATCTGGGTTATGAAAACTTTCCGTCTTTCCTTTCATCATCTAAATCCATGTCACATGGTATCCGAAAGAAGGAACATCACGTAAATCCACAATTACTGTTTTAAACAATAAAAGCTTGTAAATATTTATCCAACAAGCCCTTTTACAAGACACAGTTTCCTGAAGTCATATCGACGCTACAGTTACGAAATGTTTTGGAGTGGTCCATCTTCAGTAGTTTTGAATTGAAGTTGAATTAGTGAGTAGGCCTAAGTAAGCCGTTTCCCTGGCCGTTTCTTGGGTATCAAAGTGAGGATGTCGTATCCGATCAAATCTACACTGGTCGCAATAGTAAGCTACGATGACGTTCAAAGCAAATCTCACTGAGATTATTTTGTCTGGCGTTAATGAGCACAGTGTTCCAGGGACACCATTTTATCCTTTATATTTGTGTAGTTCATCAGTTGACAGATTTTTCAAAGGAGTTGGACTACATGTATAAGCTTGCTTGATTTCTCTTTTTGTAGACATGATTTGCTGCTTTTCCATCTTGCTAATTCATCAGATGGATCTGAAAATAAAAACTGAGATTAAAAAATTGATCATACACAGAGAATATAAGCTTAGACTAATTGATAAATTAATGCACGCAAATGTCCTTTCGATTTTTACATATTTTCCTAAACGGGACATTTTATTTGCCAACTTTTTCGGATTTGCGGACAACTGGAATTGATGGTGCGTGCAAAGAGGTTACAGCAGATTTTACCTTATTTTCCTAAATATGACATAAATAGAACATTTTCTTTCCAAAATTCTAAGCAAGTTTCGTAATTGCGGAAAACTTGAATTGGAAAAACATTTTTCGCATATAAAAACATATAATTGATCTATCAAAAAACATATACAGAGACTATGATTGATGGTGCGTGCAAAGGGGATACTGTTTTTCCTTATTTGCCCATATATGACATATAAAAATACATTTTCTTACCAAAATCAAAGCACGTAGAGATGAATATGAATCCAATATGGCGGCGTAGTGTTGTAACGATGTGACGTCACAAGTATTCTTTTGGTAGTTACAGCTGTGACGTCTTTCAATTATCGGAGACAGACATAGAACAATCGGAAACATGAGTTGCCATTCCCGTTGTTTAGTATTCCCAGATATATCATATACTCACTCGAGCCACGATATACAGAAAGAACCATTGTATAACCTCATAGTATACATTTATGTGACGTCATAAACAGACAATGGAAAATTTAATTATGTAACAAATGACCTAGTAACCTAAAAAATAACAACAACAAAAAACATAGATACGAAAAAACGAATGACCTAATAATAACCTTAAGATAAATATATAATCGTTATGGTAACAATTAAACTCAAATATTACTATTGCATACTTTGCTATACCATTCTTAATTTACAATATTTTATGATACAAATTGTCCAACTGATACCCATTATCTCTGTTCATTTTAGGTTGCATTGTTTTAATATGAATTGCTTCCTTAACCCTACGTTTAAGATCATGACTCTCATTATCAATGATTTTTACATTGTTCCAGTTTATATTATGATCATATTCCATGGAATGTTCAATAACCGCAGAAGCAAGACCTCCAGTCGACAGTAATGTGGGTCTACGATGTTCTCTGATTCTAGTAACTAGTTCCCGCTTTGTTTCACCTACATAAGTGGCAATACAGTCTTTACAATCAATTTTGTAAATTACACCGGACTTCTTTTGATCATTAGTTTTGTCCTTTAAATGCACCAACTGTTTCTTGATAGTATTCTGCGATGAGAAACATACTCGGACACGATGCCTTTTAAAAATACGCCGTAACTGGTTGGAAATACTAGGGATATACGGAAGAACTGCAGTACACCTTATATCGTCATCATTTCTTGTTCTGTTTACATTATTTGTCGCATGTCTTTCACCTTCTTTAATCAGCCATTCCGGGTACCCACACTCCTTTAATGATCGGCAAACCAGTTCCTTTTCTTTCTTTAGATCTTCCTCTTTAGTTACCAATGTTTCTGCCCTCCTAAAGAGGGATTTGACAACTCCTCTTTTAGTATCAAGAGAATGATTTGATTGGAAATGCAAATACTGATTTGTGTGCGTTGGTTTGCGGTAAACACTAAATGACAAAGATCCGTCTTGTATATCCCTAGTATTTCCAACCAGTTACGGCGTATTTTTAAAAGGCATCGTGTCCGAGTATGTTTCTCATCGCAGAATACTATCAAGAAACAGTTGGTGCATTTAAAGGACAAAACTAATGATCAAAAGAAGTCCGGTGTAATTTACAAAATTGATTGTAAAGACTGTATTGCCACTTATGTAGGTGAAACAAAGCGGGAACTAGTTACTAGAATCAGAGAACATCGTAGACCCACATTACTGTCGACTGGAGGTCTTGCTTCTGCGGTTATTGAACATTCCATGGAATATGATCATAATATAAACTGGAACAATGTAAAAATCATTGATAATGAGAGTCATGATCTTAAACGTAGGGTTAAGGAAGCAATTCATATTAAAACAATGCAACCTAAAATGAACAGAGATAATGGGTATCAGTTGGACAATTTGTATCATAAAATATTGTAAATTAAGAATGGTATAGCAAAGTATGCAATAGTAATATTTGAGTTTAATTGTTACCATAACGATGATATATTTATCTTAAGGTTATTATTAGGTCATTCGTTTTTTCGTATCTATGTTTTTTGTTGTTGTTATTTTTTAGGTTACTAGGTCATTTGTTACATAATTAAATTTTCCATTGTCTGTTTATGACGTCACATAAATGTATACATGCTGTTATATTTTGAAAAAGACTAAGGGATATTAGTCGAAAGTCTCAATGAAATTAAAAATATTCTCTGAAGTAAAGAATTTGACTTGTTTCTGAATGTAAATATAAGATTAACACCATTGTGAGATAATGAACAACGTGAAGCTCATATAAATTCACAACCGTTCAACGGCAGTGCCTGGTAAGCTATGTCGATGAATAGCACTGTCATTGAATATTTGACCGTTGAGATTATACTTCTAAGCCTTATGCCAAACTTCAACGACAGTGCTTGATAAAGATATGTTGAGGAATAACACTGTCATTGAATATTTGACCGTTGAGATTAAACTTCAAAGCCTTATGCCGAACTTCAATGGCAGTGTCTGGTAAAGATATGTTGAAGAATAGAACTGTCATTGAACATTTGACCTTTGAGATAATACTTCAAAGGCTTATGCAAAACTTCAATAACTGTGCTTGGTAAAGATATGTTGAACAGTAGCACTGTCATTGAATATTTGACAGTTTAGATTATATTTTAAAGCCTTATGTCAAACTTTAATGGTAGTGCCTGGTAAAGATATATATATGTCGAAAAAAAGCACTGTCATGTCAACTTCAAAATGCCTTTGTATGCTTTACGTACTTTTGCTTTTGAATCTCCATCGGCAGGAAGCTCAGTTATCTTCATACTGCCTTTACGAAAATGTAGTTCCTTAAAACTAATGAATGAGATCAGCATATTGTCTCTGCTACTTGATATGTTCACTCATTATAACTTCCAAAACATAGTGAGCCATTTGCTCCTCCAAACCCAAATGAGTTTGTCAAAACATGTTTTGAATTTGTAGGAAAGTGCATGGCTTTCCCTTGAAGTAAATTCATGTGTTCAAATTCGTCATCCATGTCTTCTAGAGTTATGTTAAAGGGCATCATAGCTGCTTTAAGAGTCATTATGGTGAATATTGACTCTACACTTCCAGAGGCACCTATGAGATGCCCTGTTGAACTTTTGGTAGATGACACTGCTACTCCAGTGTTCTGAAATACCCTAGATATTGCCCTCAGTTCAGCTGCATCACCTAGAGGTGTAGACACCGCATGGGCGTTGATATATCCAATATCACATGGACCAACATTGGCCTCCTTTAAGGCCCTTAGCATGCTAAGCTCAGCCCCTCGTCCGTTCTTTTCAGAGTGACTGATATGATATGCGTCCCCAGAGAGTCCATAACCCTTTACCTCAGCTATTATTTCCACACCTCTGGCTTTAGCATGTTCTAACTCTTCAAGTACAAGCACACCAGAGCCTTCACTAAGAACTAGTCCTTCTCTTGCTTTATCAAATGGTCTAGAGGCCTTATGTGGTTCGTCATTATAACTTGTGCTGAGGAATTTCATCCTACCTAATCCAGCTAAAATTATTGGATCAATACAAGCCTCTGTCCCTCCGCAAACCATGACATTGGCATCTCCATACTTGATGAATCTAAAGGCATCCCCTGTAGCATGTAGTCCAGTGGTACAAGCTGAGGATACTGCGTGGATAGGACCCTGTAGATATATAGATATAAAATAGATATCACAAATGGCATAGCAAAGTGTTCTGCATACTGTAGCAGTCATATAATGCATATAGTTACATAAGTATAAGTCGTTATTGACTTTATTTCTCATATGAAATGGAATTTTGTGTTTCCATAAGATCTAAATGATGTAGTTTCAGAACACATCTGTATTTGAAAAGAATCTTTTGAAATATTATATACTGAAAAAGTATATAGGTCATATCTAACTCTGTTGTATCAAAACATCTAAAGTAAATTTTGAACATAATGTCCATAACATAAAGTTGTATATAATCTATTCTAATTCCAGTCATGGTTTTCTCCTGATGACCAGAGTGAAATTTTATGTTTTATGGATTATGAAGTCGGATCTACGGATGGATATCGACCCTTTGATATGTTGATGAACTTTGAGACATGATTTTGTCTGTCCCACATCATTTCAGACTGAATCTTGTGTGAATACTAGAATAGTATATACAACTTTATCCTATGCCAAGTAGAGTTTTAGGGAGATAACTTGGTAAGATATATCCCGTATCCTGATTTTGAGGTTTCCTTATCCTGGACCTCCATATCTCCCGCCATATCTTCCGCTCCGGGGCATATCTTCCCGCTTAGAAAAAAAAGTTTTAAAAAATTGAAAAAAAGAAAAAATGTGAGAAAATTGAAAAAAAGAAAAAAATTAGAAAAAAATTTGAAAAAATTTAAAAAAATTTAGAAAAATGTGAAAAAATTGAAAAAAATGAAAGAAAATTAGAAAACTCTACTTGGTATAGGATAAAGCAGTTATGTACGGTCGGTTTGAATATTGGGTTCATCCCTCGTGAGATATACACATTTATCCCATACTTGGACGTGTTACGGGTACATAAAGCCGGTTTGTAAAAACTTATATTTTCATCAGCGGGCGGATATAGCTTTACGTCCCGCTCCGAGCGGGCAGATATAGTATATCTGCCCGCTACGTCATAATCGCTGTTCCCGTATTGGTTCTTTTTTGTAACGTTCGCATACTGTAAACGACAATGGAGAAAAACGCAGACATTCGCGATCTGTTTGATGCTTTAAAGAAGGGAAGGAGCAGTATGCCCCGTTAATAATCAAAGATTTGAACAGGAAAATCCGGCTACGGACAAGAATACAAAACTGGACATGAATATTTGAAAATAATTCCACGGTTGGTTGCAAAGTTTCTGAGCTTTGGCCAATTGAACAATGTGATTGGTATGGGATAAACAGATCATCCTATAGTCGGTTCAGGATATTGGGATTATCCCTTGGCCAATATAATATATCTACCCTCGGGACCTACGGCCCTCGGGCAGATATATTATATTGGCCTCGGGATAATCCCAATATCCTGAACCTCATATAGGATAATCTCTATCTAACTTCGGTCCCTATGGTCCCTCAGGTAGATAGGCATATCTCCCTCTGGATAAACCCCATATCCAAAACCTCCCAGTACATAACCCTTATATAGACTATGTAATGAGGATTGATTTATCAATTTATATTTATTCTTCAACATATATTGTAAGGACTCCTGAATGAATAAAATGTCCCTTGTGATGTGTTGTGGTCCTGGTTTGTGATAATGGAGAGAGTGGCACCTTTCACGTTAGAAACGTTAAAATCCATTAAAACGTCTGGGAGTAATCTGATAAAAGAGAGTTTAAGACTAATTGGTCGATTTCTTGAAAACCTTTCGTGACTGAAAATCTTAGAATAATCATTTTGCATACTTTTATGTTGTAAGATAAGTTTTTGAAGTGCCCAATAATCCAGATATGCGAGCAACGGTGTACAGCGAAGCAACATTAGTTAACAATGTTTCGAGCAAGAATGCCAAAAATACCATAGGATTTTTATTTATTTGTCCAAAGTCTCCGATAAATCGGGCTACGTATACCGCCGTGTTTACATTAGGGGATTAGAAGAGTTTATTTTTTATTTAGGTATGCAAGCTACGTATATCAATATTAGGCCTTCATTCATGTACTCGTGTGTATGTAATCAGCATGCCCTTCAATATTATGTAAACCAGGCTATTCAAGTACTGTATAATGTACACTATTTATGTGTGTACACAATACAATTCCCTGGGAAACAAAACACAAATACTTTTTATATGTTCAAAATGAGCCATTTGATTGATGCAAACACTAAATAGCTTCATAAATAACATCTACAAAGTATATCTAATAGTAATTTTCAATTTCAATGGTGAAACTTCCCTGGTTACGATTATATGGGAAATCATCATGAGACGAAGATCGTTCGCCTTCCTGGCTTACCTCTGAATCGTGTACCCGGTAATCTCTTTATATAGTTTAGCGAGAGCGGTGCGCCTGCGCAGTTTTAAACTTTGGCGCACACTTTGAAAACTGATTGTTCTCACCTGAAATCCATATTTCATGGATATCAGACCAGCGGGAATGTTGGCCAGTATCCTGGGTATAAAATGAGGGTCGACCTTCTTATATCCCTGTCTATATAGTGTCTCTCCTGTTTTATAGATATCACTCGTCCCCATGACTCCAGTACCCAGTGATACACCTTGTAATGCAATGATTTAAGATTGATGCATTTGAGTTTAAACAGCTACAGTTCAACATTCATATGGATACTTGTGAAGTGTTGCTTTAAAATGTTGTTGAACATAGATATCTTAGATACACCCTGTTCTATTTTGATATGCCAAAGACATCGTAGTAGAATTGGCTAGGCTCACTATGTCTTGGGTTTTGTAGAATGTGTTGCTTCCAATTATTAAAAATCGGATACACTTTTCCTGCTGTATATTTTTAATGCATTTTGTTAAAACAGTACTATTTTGTCTAATAGGAATTCCATATCACATTTGCTTAATTTTTCATACCCGTTTCCATTCTTTCCTCTTCTTCTAATTCTGAGCCGCCCCACCGAGCCATCGTCAGTGCCTCTCTAGCAGCCTCCAAGGCGTACAATGCTGCCAGAGATTGTTTACGTTGTTCTGTCGAGCTATAAAGATGCCCCATGTTGAGGTCTCCCGGAGTGGAACCCTTGGGAACTTGACCAGCTATGTTACATGTGAGCTTCACTTTATCGAATCCTGAAAATATTTCAGACCAAATAATGTACTTGACCTGTACAATCAAGAATGTGTATTAGTTTTATTACCATAACCAAGGGTTATTCCTTCCCAAGTATACCACGTCTATCTATATCTATGCCTGAACAGTCCTAGACAAGTCCATGACACTTCTGCATTGCATTTTAAACTATTAAGTCAGATAAGCATGTTAGTTGCTTGGACTCGGGCTATAAGGGAAAAGTAGTAGTGAGCTCAATATAGAAACTCACTAAGAGTAATGTTCTAGAACAACTCTCGTCACTCACCTGGCCCTTTAACACGAGTGATGCCAGATTCTCCTCGAAGAAGTTTAGACCAGACATGTTCCACACCAACCCCAAGACACGTGACAAGGCCTAGCCCTGTCACGACAACCCGCCGACCTGTTGATACTCCCGACATATCCTTACACGGAAACCTCTCAATACATAGTTGTAAAGTAACATTTCTTTATACATACAATGTTTAGTATGGACACATTTGTTTTTCCACCTTCATTAAGGTATGCTCACTTTAAATTTTATATCTTTTCATGGGGATCTGAGAAGTTGAATAGTACAGTCATGTAAAAAGTTTTCTGTTGTCACGTTGGGATAAACGTATAGTTATATAGCTAATGTTCGGTAAAGTATAGTTATCTTTAAAATTATTATTGGTGGATTTCCATATACCATTTGAAATTTTATTGATTCTATTCTAACTTCGCTTTATTTTCTTCTTCAATCTTATAGTATATATATATAGAGTAAATTCATATGTACATATAATACATAATACTAGTTAAAGGCAGGATCGGATCTATAGGGGGTTACAAAATTACAAGCAATATGTATAATTGACCTACCAATCTATGCCTTACAATATCAAATATAATATCTCCCAAAAGATTCACAATATGTTATAAATTGGATGATTCAAAGTGCAAAAATATTCTTAAAGGCCCCATATAAAGTTTAAACCACTTTGGCTTATATTGTAGTCTTACCCAATGTTATCAAAGTGTGATATGTGAAACTTTTTTTTTAAATTTTAAAAAGTGGTTTTGAAAGACTTTTTGTTCCAAAATTTGTGAATTTATTTAAAACCAACTTTTAGAGGTCATTCATATCTTGTAATTAGCCACAATGCATAGCATTCATCCTCCCATGTTTTTGCCGAAAAGAATTAAGAAAATCGGTTCATAAATAAGCGAGAAATAAACTTATCAGTGCATGAAAATGGTTTTGAGAAAAATGCATTTCAAAATTTTAGTTCTCATAGAAACCAATGGTACATGATATCTAAAAAATAATTTATTCTTCCTTTTAAGCTGGTTAGACAATCAACATTGTTTTTTTATGAAAGTCTAGCATATTTAGAAAAGATTGACATCGAAAAAAATTTCAATTCTTTTCAAAAAGTTTTTGGCTACCTTAGTGACATCACTAATGTTTCAAAATAGTTTTTATATGCTAAAACATTGAAGTGGCACATTAAATATGGCATTTTATTAATGAAATAGTGTGTCCTTTGTTCAATCTTTGCATTGGTGTTAAAAATATAATCTTTTTTTGAAATGCATTAAGAAATTTCAACTTTTTTTTGAAAAATGGCGGGAAATTTGAATATTTGAGAAATGAAATGCTCACAACTTTTTTTTCAAAAATTTGTTTTTGTTCAAAAATCTCTAAAATCACTTTTTAAGTCCTGACAAACAGTAAATGAATGATGAAAAAATATTTTCAAACTTAAGACGGAGACTTTAAGTTGAAACAATTTTTTGTTTAGCCTGCTCGCTATATCTGATTCTCTCTTTAATATCAATAAAGATGGTTGAAACGTGGAGATCTATATGTCAATATAACATGTCTATCGGTCTGTAGCATGATTATACTTTGCAGAACTTCTGACCGTCTCGGTTAAAGGTTAATGATATAGTTATAATAGAAAAACATGTTCTTGTTTATTCATAATGCAACACAGTTTAAGGATACTCCCCAGTTTATAGATTGGTGAAAACCATATTACCTCTCTTAGGCGTTCAATAAGGGTGTTTCAATATGACGATTAAAATATGTAATTTTAAGGAGTTTATTCCAGGGAACCTTAACCCGTGGCCTCGTGTAGTCTAGGATCGTTACAGCCAGGATTGAACGGTTGTTTTCGTTTTGTAACAAAAACAAAAGATGATTTCCAAAAGCATAGATTTATTTAAGTAACAATTGTTAAAATTAATTTTTAATTATTTCAATGATAAGACGTATATGGTAACATCTACATTCAATATCAGCACATGACGTTCATTCATAACATTCTTGGCTCACCTCTGACACCTCTTTTTTTATAGTTTATCAACGCCTGGATGCATTCGGGCTTCAACTGGTCGTCCTACCACGGAGGAGGAGATTGAAAAACAATATCAACCAGTACTTTTTATACCAAGTTGCTTGAATATTAGTAATTATTTGATATTAACTAGAAAGTATAAAACTGCTAAAGCACCATGATTTTTTAGAAAATGTTTATTCAGTTAAATTAAATACAAATTGTCTCTTTATTTTATTAACTCATATGTATTTTTGCTAGAAATCACATGGAACTATTGATAACTATTAAATAATGTTAAACGTTATCTCTTTAGTTCCACACTATGGGACAAAACACTAGTACAATCGGAAATGATTATTTGCCCTTTAATAACACAAGCGACATCATGAGAAGGACATCATAGTTCCATTTCCATTGTTACAAACAAAAAACTAGGACATCATCACTATCAATATTTAATCCTAGTTTCTTCGATATAGCAACGGATAGCAGTGTTTATTAAATAAGTCCTGTACATATTTACATCAAAGGACGTCCTTGTTTACACAAAGTACATGCAAGGTAAATACAGAATTACCATAAATGAAGTGAATTCGAGTCACAATAACAAAACTGTCTATTGTTCTTTGTCTGTTATGTCTATAACTATGTATCATCATGTTAGTTCAACAATAATTTGTTTTATTAATAAGCATTATTAAAGCCATACTATATTTATATAGTTTATACAATCAAGAAACATACATACATCACATCTGCACATCCTAAACTACTAATAAGTCAATATTTTACTAATTTAACCAACAAAAATATTAGATGATCCCGAAAGAATGAATGAACAATTCATGACGTCATCGAAAAAATACACACTCTCACGCCATCGACAATGTAAAGTGACGAAACCTTTAGCTGTACGTTGTCATGTTTGAAGCAAAAATTATTATTTTGGTTTTAAAAGTTAAGATGAATCTAAGGAATATGATGACGTATGTCATGCTTAATTTCATGTGCATGATCTTGGCAAGACTTTTAACTTTATAATTACGTTAACTGATTCTCATATTTTGTCACTGTACGTTGTCGATGGTTAGGCGTGACTAGAAATACTATCAACCATTGATACAATGGGTTTAAAACCTAATTAGAAACAAACCATTTCTTTCCAAACTTATTATTTTTATGTACATTACTGAACGCCACAATTAAAAGGATAAAAATAACATTTAAGTATACATAATGTTTTTCAAGAAAAAATATACACATTGAATTTAAACCATTGTCCCCAAATATGGCATCGATACATCCTTCTTTTAGGCAGATATATGTTCATCGGGATAACCCCATTTACCCGGAACTCGATCATATAGAATATCATTTTCCCCAAAGTCCCTCTTGATAGATAAACATATATAACTATATTATGACATTTCTCCTATCCAATTCTAATTGTCATAAAAATAATCTCGAGGGAATACATGCACGGAGATACGATAGTAGATACTGCTCATTAAGATTATGATATCTTTGGTACATGTTGAACTGGCATTTTCACACAATATATCATTGTATTGTAACTATCAGCCAAATATGGCTAAGCATAACTATCATAAAATTTGATAAATATTCATTGGAGAAGAGCCAATACGCATTTGAAAATGTCTGATCACTTTTACTAATAACGACATGTTTTTATTGAAAATCAAAATTTTCGATAGAGTTCTCAGCGTATTACAAGCCAGACATAAGTTATTACCAGTTATAATTATGTGATTACAGGCACCAGGATATACCATAATTCTACATTTTTTGTTTTACAAATTTCGTGACAATTATATATAAACAATATTTAGGTAATAGACCATGGGTATATTGAACAAATATTTCACTCTATTGAGGTGAATACCTGTACATCTTTCACAAGTGATATTCCACGAAGCCCGAAGGTATTCACCGAAAATAGAGTGGAGTGAAATATTTGTTTTATTATATCACTGTCTAGCTAAACATCCCTAATATTATTAAGTCATAGGTTAACATTGATACTCGGTTCGTCTGCCATTTTGAGCTATTTTGACTTACACTGAACTAAATTATTTACACTGAACGAAAACAAATTCTTTGAAAATTCCCGGGAGCGTGGGATATCGCTAGATATCTCACAGTTGTCTTATCTGATTAGCACTGCCATTGAATATCGCCAGATATCCCACGACATGTGACCCGGTTTTGACCAATCATACTGTCGCTAGCTAGATAGTGATATAATAATACCCATTATTATCTCAGTACCCATTGCAATTTACCCAGTATACACGGTTTACTTACGAGTTACGAAGGTATATCCATAAAGAGTTTCTAGATAGATATACCCCCGTGCATATCTTTGCGCTTTGTGAATATAATTGTTGAAGAACTTACTGAATCTAATAATAATCATAATACTATACATCCTTTAGTTGTTTTGAAGTAGTCTCAGTTTATGATAAATTATTGGATATACAGTCTTATGCATTTATATTCACATTATAACATTTTCATTATATGATATTTACATTATAATATTTTCAATAATGTATGAGCTTATGTTATATGGTATCATCTAATAAATAATTAATTCTTTAGTATAAATCAAACATATGTACAATTTATATACAATTCGATGTGATTGGTACATATATACAGGGTAATTTGACATCACTTATATCATCCACAATCTCCGCAAAACTCTCATTACCCAACTGGCAAGCCATATAATCTGAAAAGCGTCACTGTTATTAATATGATTGTAGAAATTGTTTTAGTTTGGTTGTGAAATATCTGTTTGGCTCCTGAGCTAGAAGATTGTGAATCTACATTAGCTGAAGTCTTTACAGTGCCATCCACATAGTGTGATACTTTGAATATGGAAAGATGGGCGTCGTTGGTTACAGAGTTGTGCGATTGGTCAATGAGGAGGTTTAACATCTTTGTTGGTTCAAGACAATCCTGAAATATTGAACATTTATATGAATAATATGCAAAATGTAGGTTTTTGTTTTGAGTATATGGAATAGAAAGGAGAACCCAAGAATTCATAGATTAATCGTCTCCATATGAAGAACCTCTAGTTAGTTACATACGCGTGCCTCTAGGTCCATCTTTATAAAGATGGGTTCACCAATGAATGCTGGGTATTTCCTCCTCTGGGAGTATGGTCAAGCTTCATAATAAGGGATTGTGGGAAAAAACTTAACATCTGGTCTTTCGTATGGTTGAAACTTTCACAAATACACTGATGTATTTACATGCATTGAAATATAAATTATGACTGGATGAACAGCACGGTCTTTAATTGGTTTAAACCTTACTATTTCAGATGCTCCCTTTCTGCTATGTACACCGTAGACTATGTTACCATGTGTCTCTTCCAACACAGTCAGTTGGCAGTTCTGCAACTATAGGTAATAATGATATCATCTTTTAGAAACAAATTATGATGCGAGGCTTTTGTATAAAGCAAAATGTGCCTTTAAACAAAAAGTGTTGAGGTACTAGGTAAAGTATTAACAGCATTACAATGCACATATATATATGTATAGAGAGATGGATAATGAGGGAGAGGTAGGGGATTGAGGACGTGAGAAAGTAGAAGGAGACAGCGAAATCTACGTTTATAACTACACATTTGGTGATTTTATACAATGAAGTCCAAATTGCATTGAGGTTGTGGTTGAAGGCTCAAATCTACGATAGCAATCGTAAAGTAAGATTGGAATTCATTTTGGATTGAGGTTTCCGTCCTACATATATACGCTATTCTTACCTTCCTTCTCCTTCCATTCAGCAGTAATGTAAGTTTTTGTGTTAAGTTTTCAGTGTCGAAGTCCACTGAATTATCCTTCAGTAAGGATTTCTCTTTAGTGCTATAACCCAGGTTGAGAATGATGGCTAAAATTATAAAGAACATTTATTCCAGGTTCCTCTACTGATTGCTGATCGACACTGATTTAAATTATTTACACTGAACGAAAACAAATTCTTTGAAAATTCCCGGGAGCGTGGGATATCGCTAGATATCTCACGGTTGTCTTATCTGATTAGCATTGCCATTGAATATCGCCAGATATCCCACGACATGTGACCCGGTTTTGACCAATCATACTGTCGCTAGCTAGATAGTGATATAATAATAAACGATACACATTATACAATTATTGTTAGGAACTGGAAAGCGGTATATAGTGCAAATGTTTTACAATTTTAAACTTACAGTCTGTCGCAGCATCGGTTGTTTTTGTTGGGTTAGAGCATATGATTTCTCCATGGAGACAACGGCATTTGCCTCTGTGTGACTGAGTCTCGGGAAGTTTAGAGCCATGGGCTATAAAAAGCAAATGATTTAAATGTGTAAAGCAGGCTAAAGATATCTTTACATACCGAAATACATATGTAAATATATGTGCTACTAAATTACTGAATATATGTGTGCGTTCTAAATAACTCAATAAATTAATTGTTAGTTTATTCAACAGCCCATGATTTATATTTATCCCTAGGTCACATTTGCTCAGATTCACAGGCCGGCGCCCGGCCGATTGAGTATTTTGTTCAAAATTGAATACTGTTTTGACCAGAATACTCGCCGTGGTGGGTGAATGCATTCACTTACTGAACATAATCCCGTTCTTGCTACAACTCTGACGACGTAGACATGGAGTTAACACCCTGCATGCAATGTCCCTCTTCATAGAGCCCGTACATGTACACAGCGTTGGACACAGGACGTCGGTAGAGTTGTCAATCTAAACATAAATATGTTTACATAAACTTGACAATAATATGTCATTAATTATCGAAGATTCGCTCTCGTTATAAAAAATGAACATCGAGACAAAATTTTACTTAACACTAAATGAGCTATGTAGACGAACAATATGCGTATTGCCTAACCATCCAAGTAAGAGAGTAGACTAGGGTAGACTAAAACAAGACACTTTGCGATTCCAATGGTTAAAACATATCACACTAAATGCGTCAACAATACAATACAAAATTAAATGCGGTTCTCTGCTTGGAGTAACCATGTGTATATTACAACTGTTGATATATCAAACCTACCCTTAATATTGAAGTTTCTTCAAAATATTTTGGTACAGGATACGCTGTTTGAGACTTATTGGTAAAACACGTTGGCTCTGAAACATTCAGGAATTTGGTATATGCCATGGGTCAGCATTTTTCATAAATGTATATACAGGGTGACACAAAACATGGACCTTCTAAGTTTACAATAACTAATGGAATCAAGTTGAATTCTCGTGTCAATATGAAGTTTTCAAAGCGTAATGGAATGGTGTTCTTACACTTTACAGCTTTAGCGACATCGATCTTTTTCAATATTCTCTACCTTATCAAATCATTTCGTCACATTGGATAAGCTATTAATAATATATGTGAGAAGATTGCAAAAATGACTCAAAAATGGCAAAGCTAAAATGGAAAATCTAATTTTTTAAATGTTTTTGGATTTAACACAAATTAAAATTTTAAAAAGTATCCTTTCATAATTGATAAATTTAGAGGGCTGTATGATTTGTGTCAGCATGTACAAAGGTAATAATAAAAATATACATAATACACTCGTAAATATATCATACCAAAGTTAAAAATTTCAAGTATGATACTTAAAATTATGCATAAAGGTTCTACATGTACATGACAAGCGAATACTAGATTGCTATTGTAGGTTGATATTGCAATAAAAAAAGTATTGATGATGTCACTCAGAATGACGCCATCTTTGTTTTTTTAAGACGTACATGTATGTAATATTGAAATAATAATAAATTATTTGCGGTTTAAATTATTAATACACACTTATATAAAGCCAATGGAATTATTTGAGATAAAAACTGATCGATCCACTTTTATAAATAGGTTATTACAAAGCAGCAAACTTACTTGAAACGAAATTAGGTGAGTCTGTTTTTGGCGGCTGATCACTAATGGTAGATTTGGGGGTGACATTATCAAATTTGTGAATTGAGAGCGCTGCAAAACAAAAACAAGGCTTTAACATGACAAAATGTCACCACCTGCAACAGATGAAGGTCAACCAAATCTTAAGTCAGATTCAAAATTATTTGAATAGAAATTGGTAAATTCGATGCAAATCGAAAAAGTTACAGACACCGACCGCCGATCACCAAACACAGTCCACATAAAATTAGTTGGAGACTTTAACAATATGTCACTACTTGTGGTGGTGATATAACAAGAAATGATATATCTTGCATTGTTTTTGATAATTTGCTATTATGTTTTGCCTGTCAATATAATTCAAGGATTTAAGCATAGATTTCAATACTTTGTTTGTAATATATGTCACAAGTGGATTGTTCCTTGCTTAAACAAAGACCGAAAGCATTGAGTTCAGAGCCTTTTCACACATGGAAAACTGTTTTTGACCTCTGGAAAATTGCAATCAAGTTTCTAGATGGCTGTTCTGGATATGTACATTCTCCCTCAGAATGATATACTATTAACGTTTATGTGCCTACATATTATATTCTTAGGGAGAAGCCAATGAATTGAATGAATATACAAGAACGGGCGAACAGGAAGCAAACTTGAAATTGATGAAATCTAAAAATTGAATCTAAATTAGAAGTTGTGATTTTAAGAATGCATACTATTTATTTTTAGATACTGTGTTCTTATTGGCTTGAATTTGATATATCACGCCTGGTTATGTGTGAATCAAAACTAGACAATCATATAATATTTAACAATCAACAATGCCAAGATACTGCTTTAGTTCGAGACTGAATTTATACTGCTGTAACAGAAAAATACATTTATACTTTGTCATCCTATAACAAGACCAATGAAGCCTCGTCCAATGCATAGTAACATGACTATGACACAGAATAATGCTTTTTGAATAATATTAGCAACTAGAAAAACAGCAACTCTACGGAGTAGCAAATCCCACCGAACAAAACAAGAGGATTAACCCCAGAGTTCAAAGATGACGGATTCAAAATTTTCTAATAACGCTTCGAATAATATTATGTTTGGCGTGGAAACCAATATCATAGCTTGTTATTTCACATCAAGATAAAGAATGGTGTAAGGAATATGCTTGAATCTAGCTATTAAAACATCACACCGACGCGTTATATTAGAAAACTAACTGTTGAGAATTTGTGCAAATAAAGGTAGTACGAAAGAGACGTAATATGTCAGTCATCGCTAAAGCTCTGGGGCTTTCCCTCCTCTTGAACAAAACATATTTTGATTATTAGTCGCCATCTTGAAAATTTCTTCATGAGTAGAGCTTGTTTATCCCTAGGAACCACATCCGTCAACTAGAATTTGAGATATCAAAGATTATATTTTTTAAGAAAAATGGCGGCCATTTTGAATTAAGCGGCCATATTGAAAGTTCCTTCTCGAGCAGAGGTTCTATCCCCATAGGGCATAACCCCATAAAATAAAATCCGTCAACCGGTATTTGAGTTATGGCCCGGACAAACAGACGGACGGACGGATGGCTTTCCTATATCCCCCTCGAACTTCGGTCGGTGGGATAACAACGTATACAGGGTGGGCCAAAAAACGCCACTTTTTTTTTCAAGAAACTATAACTTTTTTATTTCCAACCTACATACCCCAAAGTTTGCAGTTATATAGTGCCAAGGGTTCTTAGTAATAATAGATAGCAGTATCAATGAAACGTTAGCTAGTTTTTTTTCAACGTGTCGTAATTGCCAGCTTTAGTTAAGCAATTCTTTAGATTGGGTACCTTCATACCATCTCCTGGAGACCTCCCCATACCCTATACTCATTTGGGTTTGAATTAGGGCTTTTAGCTTGCGGTCATCAGGGCGTATCAGTTTAGGAACATTATGCAAATTATGCTTTTTTCTCATGGCACCACACGCTGGTGACATATTTTATTCAAGTAAAAGTGTATAATTCATGATCAATGGCTAGAGAACAACCTCAAGTTTCATTTGGTATGTAAATAATGATTTTGTATCAAAAATTAAAAAAGTTATAGCATTTTGAAAAAAAGTGGCGTATTTTGGCCCACCCTGTATATGCATACAGATGATGTAACCTCAGAAAGGGCTGCCATTTCGAATATATACATGGGCAGTGCATAGAAATTAACGTTAGACTCAAAGCTTTATACACAACAGCTCAAGCATGATTGATCAGGATAATAAAAGCTACGATATGATACGCCGTTCCCCAAAGATTGAAAGTTCGTAAAGTTAAGGGTTCCTCATTCAATTGTTGTAATCATCGATATAACGATGCCATAAAGGAATTAGGAATTCGTTACTTCACTTAACTTAACAAAATTTGTGTGAATGTCCACCTGATAATAATTTTCGTTCGACAAGGTGAGATGATACGTGGTTCAAGCCAAGTTTATGAAAAATGTTGTTTTAGCAAATCATTCCAGAATGAGTTGTTATTGTACCATAAATAATAGATGCATATTCAACATATTGGAGTACAACATGCCTTACAACATTAAAAATATTTAAACACAATGAATAATTGACAACACTGACATGCACGAGCATGAATGAATATACTTTTCTTTTTACTTTTTCATGTTTTTCAATAGATATGAATGAAAGTAGAGACAGTATAAAAATCACATGGATTATTTATTCAAAAGCTACCGACGCAGTTTATGAGAATGGATGATGACTATTTTGGGTTCCTATTGTGATCGAAATGTTTCATATTTGTGTTGAATTCATAATTTATAAATCGGAAAATGGAGGGTAATAATGACTGTCAATTTCTAATTTTAGAGTGTTGCAGGTAGTCCTTTAAGCGTATACAATATCAAATATGACCAACTGATTGATACAATGGTACACTACTGTCGAAAGAATATGATAATAGGCACTGGTTCCTTCAAATGCTATCATTTACCCTTTCCATTCTAGAGATATGTTAAAATGTCTTCGTGGATGTTGATGACGTTTTACCAGGCATACAATAGTTTCACACCTTTCTATCTAATACAATAAGTATGTATGACCTATTTGCTTTGCTCCACAATATCGGATGGGTACATCCACCAAATCACATAGAAATCATCGAAGTAAGACATCCATTCATTAATAGATGCTTGTATGTAGGACTACTGTAACTGTGTAATTGGAGGTACATACACCTCCAGTTGTCGATGTGACGTGTGGTAAGCCCTGCGTTTGGTGGATTGCATACCAAGCTGCTGGGTTAGGAAGCACTCTAGGATGGGTGGTTTTACAACATTGAAAACCTGACACAAACCACAAGCCAAAATATAGTAAAATTATGTCCACTATATATCGAAATATCATTTTAGGGAGATTGTCCATATTACTTTCATTATGGTCTCTGCCATATTAGTAACATCGTATCTATCACATTGTTCAACCATCGACTTTAAGAAATCAAAGTCCTTGGTTGAACGAGGTCGTCAATGTTTTCATTGATGAATATTAGGCTAAAGGTAAATTGGTTGTGTGGTTTGTGTTTTTTAGTGGCAATGTGAGCATTCGGCTACCTTCATCCTGTGGGTCCCTCCCTATGGTGGGTTTAATGTATGCTCTTTGGCTAGTCGTTGTAGTCGTAGCTAGTGATGTAGACGGCGCCCTTGTGAATGGGAACCTATGTGTCTCTGGTCGAAAATCTACCACCACTCGTGCTGGATAACATAGGTGTGATAAGATCTACTGAATCTTTTTTAAGTAATACGGATACATCAATACCGGTGGATAAAGAAAGTGAATTGTCTAACAAACTATGCAATCAAAATCTTATTATTATTATCCAGAATTATATTTAGAAATTAAAAAAGCTACTGACACAAAAACTTTTCACCTGCCCGTTTAATAAATGTATACACACTACTAGCATTGTTACAGATGATTTGTCCACCAATCCTTAGAAACATTTGTCTGTACGAGTAATTCTTATAATTGATAAACCCAATCGAATTGTAATGGCGGTCTCTTGCCATGTTTGACAAAACCGGGAATTGCGAATGGACGTTTATCAAATGTTAAGACATTTAGGGTATTTGTATTAGTAGCTTGTTATCAATAATTTGCAATAAAAATAAGATTTTGATTGTACATAACGTCTATAATTTTAGATGTAAAATGGTGCGAAAATGAACGCTTATATCTAGAATCATATTTATGTAGTGTATGGCTAAGTTCCTTAACGACTAGATACTTATTGGTGATATGAAGAATGATAAGATACTACCATTTAATTGCATTCCCAAATTAAAACACGCTTGACAGGATGATGAAGATGATGAATGATTCAATCAGGATTAATACAAAGTCAAACAATATTAAATCATATTCACAAAACACATGACTAGTTACAAGAAAAAAATGATTGAGTTCATGACAAACACGGACGGACTGAAAATCTGAAAAATATGGTGTCCAAACCTGTGCATGGATTAGCATGAATGACTCGTTGTAGGTATCGACATTTCTGCAGGTTATCATGTCTATGGGAGCGGCAAGAACATCGAGTGGTTAGGTCATATCCTTGGATAGCCACGAATGCTTCTCTACAGTCCGATGTGTTTGCAAGACATTTTCCATCATTGTCAAACCTGCACGTATCATTGTACATGTTCCACCGAGCTCTGCAATTCAGATACATTGAATTACTTTATATTATACATTACAGTGCCCGACATCATAGTTTTTAAACGAGCTACCTTGCATTGATATAAGAGGAATATACCATAAAGGCGAAACCAAAAATGTATAACTGGATCCGATGCAATGACAAAAGAAAATCAAAAAGCACAACCGGTTAACTGTTCCTAGACACAAACCCCAGGATCATGTCTATAACAAATGGTGTAATATGCACAAAAACTATGTAAATCAATGTTATTCCTTCCCATAACCACACTCGATCACATAACCAAGGGCAAAATCTAGAACCACAAAACCATGGCGAATCTTTAGTCCCTTTGGTCATACTGTCCAATAAAAAAGATTTCGAAAATATTTGGTGGAAACCAGAATACATGAAAATGTGGCTGAAATGAATCATAATGGACATAACCGTAATTTCGAAAACAAAATATTTTATTAATATTCAAAAAACCCAGCATACCGAACAATATACAGTAGTCGTGAATATGATCCACACCTAAGAGGGGGGGGGGGGGGGCTTTTGACAGTTTTGGGTGAAAATTCGTGCAGAAAATGCTTAGAATGGTGAAAACTGCATGGTTTGAAAGAATTCCTAGCTCCGTCTGGGCTACGGGCTGCATACAAGAATGTTACATGGTAAGAAGTTCTAGATTACTTTTCGGCATCCATCTTGTTTCTTGGTCAACAAACCAACACTGCTATATTTTAGGTGCGATATTGTTCAGCCTATGCCTTGTTAAACTTTACCTTCACCTGAATCTGTTGTGTTATTTTACAAGTCCCTCGATATCGATTGGGATATATTTCGTTTATGTAAGTGTTTGGAACGTGTACTCTTTGTACTCCCTTTTTGACCGACCATTGTAAATGAGATATATTGAATTGCAGTTTCATCAAACATAAGCATACCACTGTAATTTGTCCACTTTCCCAGCAGTTGAGGATTGAATTACGACATCAATCAATTTTGCACTTCGACGAATGCATCAAACATACAAGAGTTATTGTCTCGACATTGTTTCGAAAACACATCGGAATGCAGACATGATCTAAGAATAATTGATGCTGCTTTACATATGCTATATGGCATTGTAACCTTTTGTATAGATCAGGATAGTTCCGAATGCAGGATCAATCAATCTTATATGCCAAGGGCTTATTGTGAAAGTCACCCCACCTCAATGACAATCGACTCCATAATTTGGTAATCATTTATGCAAGAAATTAAGTCCTAATACTTGTAGCTTAGTGTCAAAGTAATCCAAACTTACATGTAAAAGATCAAAATGTGGCAGAAATCATTGATTTTGTCTCAGCGAGGGTTTTGCTGTTGAGACAAGCTTTAAAGGCAATGTTGTATTGACACTGGGGGTAACTCATCTTTTGCTAATATACACTCTGTTGTATTACAGATCGAGTACACGTGTTACAAGCATTGCAACTAAGATGCTACTTTAATTGTTATCATATCCTATTTCATCAAAACCTTGATCATGCATATTCGAAGTTGATTTTAGTTGGATAGCTTATATATCTTAACGATAACATAACATAAAAGTACAACTTCATGAATTAATCATAGAAACAAGAATCTTAATACAGCTTTCTTACCCACAACGAGAATCTCCTTTGCATTGCTCTATTTGTACCAAGCAGGATGGCTCTGGATTGATTTCAAGTGAGCATTTGGGCTGCAGCATCATCTGCTTACTCTGGCATCTTTCGTCCCCCTTTGTACAACAGCAAAACAGCATTTGTCTGGACAGCAAGGGGTCAACTTTGATGTAGAAGTCATTTAGGGCAGGAAAACAGCTTTCTCTCTTACAACCACCGTTTTCCCACTCACATGCGTCTATCACCCTGGCAAGGGGGAGTCTACACGAACTGTCACGTTCACACTTGTCATACATTGGTATACACATATTCTCTGAAAGATCAGTGATAATTGATACATCATATGAATATATTTCCATTTGGTCCGAACATGAGGACAAAGCAGGACATACTAGCATGAATTATATTATTGGAATCTTTCCCAATTGGGTGTGATGCAAACAGAGGAATATCAGTCTATTGTGCAGTTTGTAATAGTAGAACAAATATTTTTGTATTAAGACTGGAACAGCTTCTCATATGGTTCTGAATAAATTATTTGATCCTGATCTTTTTAATTCCCTCCGAGGTGTAAGGCACCATGATTTATTTTAAAATTATGCATTTCCATAACGCAGTTTTAATCTGATAGGTTAACCAACCAAAATCTTGAAGCTAAAAGCTAAATCAAATATTAATTTAGAACCAGATAAGAAAGTACGGGATTTATAAATATCCACCTTTACTGTTATCTTCTGTTGTACATGTGTATCCCCTTTCAAATGGTACTTCGGTAGGTCCAGTCAGTGAAGGTCTATGACTTCCACTACCAATTATAAATGGGTCTTTTTCAACTGTAAATATTAAATGCATTATAAACTAAATAATAATATGATTTCATATGCTTTCGCAAAGTATGTACAATAAATGTGCCCTCCTCAAAATTATGTTATTTAAAATAACATTAAAAATAAAATTATGGATTTCCTCAGTTCAAGATGACATCATTTAAAACACAAAGGCCAAATTAGGTTGCATCGAAACGTTCGTTGTTTTAACATATCGCCCCAATCAACTTTATTTATTCAATAATTGTTTGAATAACAAAGGATCTGAATCCTTATAAACAGGAAGTTGTTCTTGACCATTGGGGAAAATGATCTCATGATTGTTGTTGGACGTAAATAATTATTTATTTATAATAGTTCGTCATACACTAATCGAGTTGAAGTTATAACATTCGTTTGAACGCCAAGTAACCCAAGGGAGAAAACCCATACATATTTAATGTGAAAATACCAGAATAATGCCCACGTTTATACAGTTTTACACATTTCAATTTGATGATGGTTTGTTTTGTCGTGCATAACAATCGATTCGTCACAAATGTGTTACCAAACCTGACACTTACAACACCTTGTGTATTTAGTGGCATGGCATGATGGTTATGAGAGTAATCAATTTAGCCTAAATTCAGTAATTAATTATTATAATGTCTAACAGATCACTTATAGTGCTCCGTTGATAGAGTAGAATGTTTTATAGACTTAAAATACCTTAATAAATATACCCAGTCAATTGAAAGGCTGAAATGACCAGGGAATAAGTGTTTTGCTTCGTAACTGTACTCGTATTTGATTCTCTTTTGCATGAAGTGCAAATTACTATGTGGCCAATAATCCAAATATATACAGGTAAATATAAAATGGCAATTTTCATCAGAAATCCAGGTCCCCCATGCTTTGATTTCTTTGATAATGTATGACCGCGCTATTTGTCATGAAACTATTAGATGCAAACATCCGCTAAAATGAAGACTATGCAAAAACAGCAAGGGGTGAAGAATAGATCCTTGAGGCACATCAGCGTTTTCGATGAAGTTTTTATCTGGATCATTTCAGCACCTAAGATGTTTGGACCATCGTGAGTGATATAATCAACGATGATTACTTACTAAATATTCAAATTAATAAAATGTATTTGTAACCCTTTCGTTTTCGTTATGTTATATAAATTCATAAATTGACCGAGTTTTGATAAATGCTTTCAAGGATTTTTTTGTGGTTGGACGGTCATTATAAATCAAAATACATTGTGAACATCAACCATAATAAGGACCCACTCACCTAAGCATGGGTGGAATTTATACTTTTGTTTAATCTTATCACATCGGCCATCTTTGAAGGTATGGTGATGACATGGGCAGCTGAACAACCCCGATGGCCTTAACTCATCAGCACGTCTTGTGCACTCCGTCCTGACAAGTAGACTGACAATATTAACCAACTGTAACATTCGATCGTCTACTTTCACCCCAGAAATGATCATACACTGCATAAACGCTACACTAAACATCGACACAAACAAGCCAAATCGACATTCTTTTAATCTCATTTTTATCCAAATTTCATGATGAAAATATCTAATACATTAATACTTCATTTGTATTTTATTCGTCGATCCTTTATCTTTATACTTCAATATTTCCAATGTGGCTTGTCCGTAAAGCACATGTTCTTCATGCAAACAACTCATTGCGATATATTCATGTATACTAGTAACTTGTTTTATGATGAGTTGATAGCATTTGACACCGCAAAGCATAAGCTGGGGGTACTGGGATGAAAGCATGGAGAATAAATTTACAATATCCTGTTAACATAGCACATTGTGCCGGGGGACTCAGGTCATTCACGTTGCGTGTCAATGAGGGTTCAAATAACATTAATTACTACATCTACATTCAGTGCAAGATATAAATGATAATGGATTTAATCAAAGTTCATATTGTGCTTTGGTCATATATCAATTTATTACAATGGCATAATTCTAGTAATACTAAATACTAGATTTGAAACCAAGAAGATAAAAGATATGTTTGTGCATGTTTGTGTCTTGCACAGAATACTAAGTTTGTTGAAATAGCGGGCCGTTGTTCTTCTATGAGGCACGCTTGTTTCAAATATTTCATTTGCATTTATTTCAGGCAATCAACACAAGTTGATGCAGGCACATTCACACATATATTTGAAAGAAATTACATTTCAACCCAGATATAAATCCCATTTGACAAAATCATTCGAACTATCAAAGAACATCAAGTTGAGTATTGAACTTCCATTACTTAAAGTACTGCCATTTGAATCACATGTTTTAGTGTAACTAGTCCATATACAATCGGTTTACCAAATCAGATTTAAAGCAAGTAATCGATTAAAACTCAACATGTACACAATGCTAGGACATATCGTCAGCAAAACTTTATCTTATCAGGTGTTAGTTGGGGGTGAGGTGGTGCGGTGGGGAACCATGATGCATGAAATCAAAACAAAATTTGGTCAGGTCTTCGAGAACATTCCACAACAAACAAGACAGCAGTTAAAATGGATGGTTGAAAATCGAGAGGGAAATCTAGAGTGCTCAGTTACACATAAAAACTGTAAACTGTAATTTAAAAATTTCAATTTCAAATTGTTTATAATTATATACTTTAAAATTACTGTTGATCATACAAAACATTAGGCCTAATATATTACGTATGTAAAATGAGTAGTGTTAACAGTGTTTTAGTTGAAACGGCATTTGTCCCCCTACCTGTCATCAGCCTCGCACTGATTCTTCCTGACAGTACAAGCATCCTTGAATGCCTTTAATACTTTCGAGCATTCTGGGTGTGCTGTGCATAGGGTTTGTCTGCGAAGACAGGACGTCTTTTTAGGCCACCCGCCCTTCCAGGTCGGTGTCGTGCTAGATGGCATCGTGGACGTCGGTACCGTGGACATTTGGCGATTATTTTCCTGTTGTGAGTCTATATCAAATAAACATTTATTGCAATTTTCAATGGAGATGACGTCCACGAGACGGTTAAAATTTGGGAACAATGATGTTCAAACATTTTATATTAAATGGAATGCATTCCAATATTGAGTGATATGTTAGTTTTCGTAAAGGATTGGGAGGTGGTATACGATAGGGAACATGCTTATTTCTATTTATTGTACAACAAATATAATATTTAAAGCACGCATCTATGGATATTTCAAAATATTAAACACTTTTAGGCAGTAACATTTGCACATACAGGATGGGTCAAAATATGACCACATTTTGAATAGTTAGCTAACATAATCAGATTTGATTAATTATCCCTATCACCATTGTAGTTGTTTACCCAAATAGTGATAATCGGTGTTCACTTTGAAAATTACCAATTTTACAGAAATTACAGTTATAATTCTAAATTCCGAGTATAACTATTTGGGTAAAAAATTACATGGTTTTAGGGATAATTAATCATGTCTACATTTCCTTTTTCCTTTTCAATTTACAACTTTATTGATAGTCTGCAGCAAGGACGAGAAAAATTTGAAAAGGTTGAAATTGTTAACAAAAAGATTTTTATGTTACTGTTTTTTTTTTATTCAGGCTGATACCTTGTCTGCCCCATGTTTAGATATTTCACTGATACATAAGATAGAGTAGTTCGCATGGGCCAATACAAGGAGGACAATTCAATTTCCAATATGATGATTATATATAATAAAATCTAGTTTTTTCAATTACTGGTATATTTTTTATTTATATTTAAATATTGTGAATTCGTGATGTTAGACATGATTGGTCTCTAAATATGCACCATACATTTCATATGTGGATTTGAGTGTTATGTACTATTCATACAGTCAACTAGTGATTTCATATTTAGTGCAATATTTATCAATAACATATTTTAGACATTTTGAAATATCCATGTTCTAACTGTTGTTTGTTCTGAGACTAACATAAAATTATGTTAGTGTCAGGTTTGTATTATGGGGAAAGAGAGGAAGCTATGGGTAAAGATCATTGCGAGGTTTAGTCTATCTAATACCCAATGATAGAAGATTGCTTTGACTAAACATGCAGGATAGACTATACAATCTGAAAGGAAAGGGACAGTGAAATCAGAAACTAGTATATAGTCCATATACATGCACATCTTATAGTACAATGTCATATGCTTAGTTGTTGGAAGTTGAAATAACACCTCGTTCGTTTTTAAACTGCACCGGCTGGTCATCGCTATATGGGCCAACCTAGTTAATGACATTGACGACGATTACTTAAAAAGCTATGTTTGCAAATGCCTAAATTAACTTGTCTAAAATTCTATAAGCTTTTCAAACTCTTTAGTTTAGTGTTTTAAATCCAACTTCTTCATTTGCTTTTACTCTTTATATCATCTTATTCCTTAAAAATACGGTTATATTCTGTATTCTATTTTAATATAAAAAATAATTATCTATTCTGTAAGGCATTTACTTTAATAAATGAGTATACTTCAAATATGCATTACATAACACTAGTGTTAGAAGTTATTGTGTCATTGTTCCGTTTGTTTTAATATGACCATCGAAAATACCACTGTATTGTATCGTAACTAGTGCTTTCACTTGTATATATCTTGCGTGGTCATATTGTCGCACTTGCAAGTGTGTATGGGTGAATGAGTAAAATGTGTTTCATGCCTTAGTAAAAAGTGTTTGTATTGTGTATTTAATGTCATGCAAATATCTAGAAGCACCATGCTTGAAGCAATATTAAACCCAACCCCTTTGCCAACAGCAACGTCTATGGTTCAAACTTCTAAAAAAACACATGTCGATCTGGAAAAGATATTTCATCCATTCATATCAAGATCATTCATCGAACATCTTTTGGAGCGTTGGTTATGTGGTGAAGGGGTCGGATTTGTTACAACAGGAAAGGTAGAAGGCACTGTTACTCACACAGGGAAGACGAAGGGGTATCGACAGTATCACTTGCATTATCGACAGTGTCACTTGCATTAGGTTCACCAGAATTTTTATGGATTTTGCTAACTTCTAGCATGATACTGAGTTTTGTCAGCTCGGTCAACAATGAGAAGGCGCCTTCGTCATCTTGCGAGCGCTCATAGTTGCTGCTTATTGGGGCGCTTGTCTGGGACGTGCTCCCTCCTATTATATGTAAAGAGCACTTAGTGTTAAAAAGCACATCTAGGCTACCAAATACCACAAAACAGCAAGAGATATAGTGCGACATGTGACGCATACAGTTGATTAGAAATCATGCATGATGGACAAACTGCACAGAACGAACAAACAAACAAACTGAACTGAATGAGAGCGCAAACATTGCGAAAGGGTGTTGCATGTGAGATGCGTAGTCAAGTCATTGACACAGTAAGTTATTCCACTAGTGTAACGATATATAACGAACAAATCATTAAATAATTAGTTATGAATCAGTATTTTGTGCTAGCTAAATTAATACAAACCTTTTATTTGTAATTTTCTATTAGATGCTGTTGAAATATCATCACTGAGTTTTTGATCTTTAAATAAATAAATGATGCACATTGGGTAGAGTTGAAACATATTTTTGTACAATTATGACTACGTTGATAACACAAAGTGTTTTTAATTTCTTATTGCTGAGAGTGGTGTTCAAGGGAAGGATCAAACGATAACACACGGAGAGGATGATTTTGAAATAATATAGTTGAAGGGTGAGAAAAACGGAAATTGGGATAGATAGTCCAAAGGGAGTTTGAATTTTGCAAAAAGATTGCATGCTTTATCAGAGGTCAACATATAACAAGTCGGTTCTTAAGAAATAGACGTCAGTCAGATGCACACACTGTAATATCCTACTTGGCAATTGCAAATTGCTATTGAAAGATTTGGGTGTGCATTTGACACGCCTGTCAATATTGCTGAAACAATTCACTCGTTAAACATGAATATAAGAGTATGATATTAAGTATATGTTGTGTGTTGGGCTTTTAACCAAAATACAAAGAACTCACTTTTTCCCAGAAAATATACTCGCTTCTTGGTTCAAAATTTCTTAAATTCGAATATTCATTTCCAAGATATGCATAATCATTCCGAGGAACAGAAAATTCATTTGGTCAAAAGTGAGTTCTTTGTTGTATTGCATTTAAGCGGGTATTTTCAGGCACTAACCAAGGTTCCATATACTGTCATGTGGTATCGGGCGATTGCTTTCCATCGACTCCGCTGAAAGGTTACATCAGTAATATACATAACATGTAGCTTAGAGTTAAATTTGTAAAAAAACTGAATAATTGATTACATATTACTAGATCAGTAACATTTCAAACAAAGAAAATACACGTCAGTAAACTTCTACATGAAGGCTACATATATTACGTTCACTAAAATTAGCTTAAAACTTTTAGATAAATAATTTAATCTGAAGGACTACTGCATTCCAAATAAATATTCAAATGACAATATGTTAAATATGCATGTACAAACAAAGCACAATTAAAATGCAAGAAAATACAAAAATATCATAATTCCCCAAAAGGGACACATATGATATACATTTACATTTAGATAGTATTTGATACTGTAAATTTTACAATGGTTTCAATGTAATATTTCAATGTAACTAGTGCCCGTTGTAGAAAAGCAGAAATACTGTCATTAAGTGTTTAGGACTTGATCACCATATCTAATATAAGTCTGTGTAGATCGATCCAAAACTATGCTAATTGAAAGGGTCTTGTCATTTATATTGGCTTTATTCCTGTAGCCGCTACATTGTTGTTATTAAATTTGCGAAATGATTCTAATGATTAGTTGGTGTGATTTGAAAAATAATCACAAAGAAGGTGTAAATTTAAATAATTAATCGCCATGTACGCACCCAGACGTTCCGTTGTCTTTTCGTGCCAATTAGGGTCCATACACGTGTGCTGCAATATTGTACGTCTCATTTCCAGACATTTATCAAAGTTGTTGATATTGTGAGGGCATGTGCAGTCTTTGAATTTAACATGACGTCTCAGATATAGTATCATGTGCATACAGGTGCGTCGTCCCTCCGCTGGACATAACATACCTAAGATCATACATACAGAAGATCAACAAGGTACAACTTCTATAAATCTATAACATGTTTTAAATAGTATTCAGGACTCTGCCTATCCTTTGTATTCGTTCAACTTCGCTTCTAAAGAGAGCTTTGTCTTATAATGTATAACTAGACTCTGCGCGCAGGGTAGACTCTGCCAAGTACTATATGCTAACCTGATTGGACCTAAAGCAAAACATTTGAAGAATTGTGCCAGTTCCGTTTTTTTAATGCCGAACCAGTCGATCGTGTCGTCCTGTTTGGCCAAAATCTGAACTGTTAAAAACGTTCATCTGTTCACAACACATGGGGCATACTTATCCACGAAAAAATACATCATATATACAGGGTGGGCCAAGAAACGCCACTTTTTTTTCAAGACACTATAACTTTTTTATTTTCCAACCTACATACCCACGCCCGGTGATCGTGAATATGGGACGGAGGGGGGAGCAGGCAATTTCTGCTAGGAAATTCAACAAATCTGGAAGATTTATTTTTTCAAGAAAAAGTTTACTATTGAATTGCTAAATGGATAGGCGCACGGTATGGTAGAATATGTTAGGTTTTCTGGAATTTTTTCTGAAACGATACGCATCTAAGGTATGAGATCTATTAAAAAAGGCGCAAGGCCATCAACAGGCACAAATCAACGTTTTTGCTATAAATCAAGCAACAATGGTCTGGACGACCTGTAATAAATACTTGTAAGTGATGTTATCATAACTAAATTAATGTCATTGCTGAATTTATAAAATAAGTTTCGATACGTGAAATAAAAGATAATCGAAAATAATGAATTTGGGACGGAGGGGGGAGGGGACGGAGGGGGGAGCAATATGTATATAAGACATGATTAGAGATGTTTCGCGACTTTAAGTCATTTTACTCCAAATGTCCCAATTTTTCAGTCTCCAGGGGTATATCATCCAGTTTCTTACTAAGTTAATGAGTTCATTTTTCAAATACAAGAATTCGTGTGAAGTTGTTTCACTTTATAGAATTATTACTCCCCCCCTCCGTCCCCTCCCCCCCCCCTCCGTCCCATTTTGATTATTTTCGATTATTTTTTATTTTACGTATGGAAACTTATTTTATAAATTCAGCAATGACATTAATTTAGTTATGATAACATCACTTGCAAGTATTTATTACAGGTCGTGTAGTCCATTGTTGCTTCATTTATAGCAAAAACGTTGATTTGTGCCTGTTGATGGCCTTGCGCCTTTTTTAATAGATCTCATACCTTAGATGCGTATCGTTTCAGAAAAAATCCCAGAAAACCTAACATATTCTACCATACCGTGCGCCTATCCATTTAGCAATTCAATAGTAAACTTTTTCTTGAAAAAATAAATCTTCCAGATTTGTTGAATTTCCTAGCAGAAATTGCCTGCTCCCCCCCCCTCCGTCCCATATTCACGATCACCGGGCGTGATACCCCGAATTTTGCAGTTATGTAGTTCCAGGGGTTCTTTGTAATAATATAATGTAAAATGTCCTTCAACTTGGATTATATTTGATCCAAAGGAGGAGTTCAATTGGTCCGCCACCCTATTTGATGATAGATTTTAGCTTTAGTCGCCTTGCTGATATAGCAGTATCAATGAAATGTTAGCTAAGCTTTTTTCAACCTGTCTTAATTGCCAGCTTTAGTTGAGCAATTATTTAGATTGGGTGCCTTCATACAATCTCCTGTAGACTTTTTCATACCCTATACCCATTGGGATTTGCATCAGAGCTATTAGCTTGGGGGTCATTAGGCCGTATCAGTTCAGGAACATTTTGCAAATTATGCTAATTTCCCATGACACACCACATGTTTAGGTGAGACGCTCGTCGCTCGTGACATATTTCATTCAAGTAAAAGTGCATATTTCATGATCCATGGCTAGATGACAACCTCAAGTTTCATTTGGTATCCAAATTATGATTTTGTATCAAAAATTAAAAAAGTTATAACTTTTCTATATATAGCATGCTATATAGCATTTTGAAAAAAAGTGGCGTTTTTTGGCCCACCCTGGGGGTCGTTTCCAAAAATGTCGTTGACTTACGATATCGTAACTCCACGACAGTCGTAGGAATTGGGAAAGTTACGACAAACTTACGACTGTCGTAGACTTACGACAGATCCGTTTCCATAAAAATCGTAAGTCTGTCGTACAAATTCGCAACTCACGACAAGTTCCACGATAAGTGATGCGAACGTCACGTGACATTCTTATTTAAAATTTTAGTTGTATAATATGGTGTTCTAGTCCTGAAGTGTTGTATTTATTGAAAGTTATTGATTTGTTTAAAAATGAAATCACAGGCCCGGGATCATATGTTACGCGGTATATGGCATACATTCATGGTTGCGCGGTATTTGTGATACGGGTGAATATGCCATACTCACCTGCGGTATATGGCATATTCCGCAGGTGAGTATGCGATATTCCGCAGTGAATATGCGATACATTGATTTCAGTGAATACCCGATACTCACCTGTGGAATATGTCAAACTCACTTGCGGAATATGCCATATACCGCAGGTGAATATGACATATACCGCAGGTGAAAACGTGATACAGAAAGCCTTGATTTGATTGGTTGCGAGAATCGACTCTAAATGTAAAACTACGCTGGATTACCAATATAGTTAGTGCGTCGAGTACTAATATATGAATCCTGGATTGTTTTAGTCAGTTTATTACGTGAGATTGGTGACTGATACTTCTGCTAAGTTAATATATTCGATACACAGTACTGTTGATTCAGTAATCATTATAATTATTTATTAAGTTTTACTTATTCGTTCAATCGATGCAATTGACAATTGCGTACTTCCGTATCACGTTCCCATTGGTTAGTGTGTATGCGATATACCGCAGGTGAATCTGTCATACACCGCAAGTGAATATGCCATATTCGTTGCGGAATATGACATGTTTTTGTTGAGCCAGTTGATTTCTACAGGCACCGCAGAAATGAACAAATATTATAACTCCGAGTTATAATTTCTACGGCGACTCTGCGGCCTGTAAAAAACTGGATACGCCGTACGGATACCGCAAGGCGAGCGTAGTTTTCCTACGCTCGCCGTAGAAATACACTGATTTAATTGATCTGCGGTCGACGTACGGCCGCCGTAAGACAAATGTGACTGGGGTGTAGAGAATCATAATTTTTTTCTTTGTTGTTATTTGCACTCACCTCATCATACGTCTAGTTCCCATTGTCATTTCTCAATTTCAATTCAATTCTAATTGACGATATGGAAGGCGGTATAGTGGCTGTGGGAGATGTGGTCTTTAACTTTAACGGATTTCAATACACATCCCCTTTTCAGGAATCGTTAATACAGTGTAGAAGAATATTTTGATATGTTTAAATCGAGAAAAACAAGATCCTCTTTTTAGAAAATGAGCCTAACATTTTTGCGAAGGTGGGGGTCCTAATTTTTCAGAGAGTTTGAATGATATTTTACTATCATGGGGACTTCACTTGAAAGAAAACATATTTTTTTAATAAAAACCACTGTATTGATGGCCAGAAAGTGCCCATGGTGAAAAATATGACCGTCTAAAATCACTTGCCATACGGCAAATGGACCTTTGGATTTTCATATAATATACCATCACAAGTTCACAGAATTAGCGACGATAAGGTCCCGTGAAATGAAAAAGTGATTAAAGAGTAGATGCGATGGTTAAGTCCGTCATCTGTGACAACGGTAGCTGACTTTACCGTTGTCAGGGTGTTCCGGTGTAGGTAGCACTTGACAGTTTACCGGAGACAAATATACATGATTTCAGAATAAAGTGAATGTAGATGGTTTGTCGATATGCAACTCAAGAAAGGAAATAATGCAATAAATAATTGATGGTGAACTGACTTTTGGTAAAACAATAATATTTCTCACCTTGCTTCATTCGTTAAAAAGACAAGCCAAAGAGGCGAGAAACGTTAATGTTTTAAATTATAATTATCCAATACACCATGAAGAGAAAACATTTTTATTTTTGATTTACACAATTTTAAAATTGTTATGTCTCTTTAAATTAACCCAACTCAATCAACCTTCATGAGAAATAATATGAAGAGAAAACCATGTGAACGATGATGCGCTAACGAACTTCAGTTTCTCTATTTTTCAATGCATAGAAATGGCCATTTACCTTATGTTTTGGAGGGCATGAAACCGCAATTTCTTCAGCTTTCTGTCAAGTGCTCGCGTTGCATAAGCCAACGTAAATTGTGACATAATCTATGAGATAATTAAAACCCCACAAATAACTCAAATATTGCTCTACGACAACCTTGCGACACCCCCTTGGGGTGTCGTGGGTTTCACACGATAGCTATTGTCTTTCTACGACAGGTGTACGACATGGTAGTTTGTCGTAGGTTTACGACAAATTTCTGGAAACGGAAATTTTTTACTTGTCGTGAAAACACAATTGAAGTTACGATATCGTAAGTCTACGACATTTTTGGAAACGACCCCCTGTATATTTAGGAAAAAGTCTTCTTATGATATTATAAAGTTAATTTCAAAGATATACCAGTGTATCATGAAGGAGTCCAATATCCGATTCACGATTTTTAAAACTACTACCATGAGTCAGTGACCAGAGCTATTCTAATGATCTTCATTAAGTCTCAATTGAAGACTTGAATCAAATTGGAATGCAAATCATCTAAGATTAGAAAGGGTAAATGCTGAAAGTCTAGAATTCTTTGCAAAAAGCAAGCTGTTGTTTTGCTTACATTCCTGTTTTGTTATTCAAATGAAAATAGCCAATCAAATGTAATGTTATTTAAAGATGTAAGATCAAGAAACATGAAAATACATTAGAATCAAAAAATAAACTTCAACTTTTTTCAAACTGATTATCAAATATCATTGAAATCAGTTTTGGAATATATGAATTAGCCATGTTGTGGAATGTTGTGAAGAGAATCTTTTTAAATGTGTGACAATATCGGCGGAAGTTTAAATCTCGATTGGTCGCAGTATCTAGTCTGAAATAGATTCATGCAAATCACTGGTGATCAAATCGATTACGCTGGTTACCGAAACGATTCGTTTTGGTACCAAAATGTCGGAACATCGAATGTACGATTTTTCTTTTCCCTTATTTCACACGTTGTAGGCAGAATTCCCACGACATTTTTAACACAAACGTGTATCAGTATCATATGTTTAAGAAAATGTACATATTTGCGAACAAATAGTTCAGAAGTTGATCGACTGAGAGACCTGGATGATCTGATGATGAATAGAACTTTTTTGATCAGACTATTTTTGTCCATTTTAATGTTACCCAATAAAGTTAGATTATGAAAGTTCAAGTTGAGACCACAATTGAAAGATATGGGCTTGGCAGTTTCGACTTCACCACTTTGACAGTTTGGTCATTACACAAACTTACTATCTCAAATATTTACTTTTTCTAAACTTTCAGGTACGAGGGAAATAGCATGGAAACGTTGGCGTGGTCTTTAATCAAGTTCTCGCCTCAAGCAACACCCGACGGCAAATAATAAACCAGGAATTCGTCACAAACCGGACCTGGTAATCCTTTTCTCTTGAACCTTCATTTTCAGTAGAATAAAGAGGTCCCCAGAATGCCACATTTCAGACAGTTGTACCTTATTGCGAGTAATTCCCGACCACAGAAATGCGCATATAAGGCCAATGTACGCTATATAGGAAGTACTCGCAAAAAGTTCCTTCCAACTGTCAGAAATATTTTGCTTCCATTAACTGTTATTTGTTACATGGACCTCTATCCCGTAGAGTTCCATGATTGTATACTAGTAGTAAGAAAAGAAATGCAGGAAGGGAGTCCTTGTGATCGTGAAAAATTGTACTACTGATTCTTAGGTAACACGAAAAATGTATTGAGCAGATTGCCTGCTACTGAAATAACAATTTGTCACTCACTTATGGATCGTGAATGACATGATGAAGTTCAAAATGACATGGCAAACGTCATTATTGGAGAAGCAACAGCAAGTGGCTTGAACTGGAAATGGCATGAGGTCCTTACACTACCATCCTTATTGATAGGTATAACCATTCAGTTTACTATCTGATGGTCAATTTGAGGCTAATAAAGATCAAATTGTTTTAAAAACTAATAATGAAATTTATGTTGTTACGCATGCCGTAAATTCTCAGTGGATACAAATACAGAGCTCATATTTGTTGTAATTGTGACATTATATTGAGATGGAGGAAAAAACAACTACAACCACAATGCGAGAAGGCAACTCGGGTTATCTTTCAATTTGATGAATGAGACCATCAGAGGATGCAATGTCTTCCCAGTTTTCATCACATTTTTTCTACTGAAGACAAGATACAAGATTTTCACTTAGTCATAAATTTCTATTGTAAGTAAGGAAATTAAGTTAATTGTAAATTTCTTACTTGACTTTCCACATACATGTTCCTTTGGTATGGTATCAAGCACAGAATTACACGCAGATTCATTCCTGCATGACTGTAGACCTTCTAGACATGTGGGATGGGGTGGTTCCTCTATGACAATAATCTCATCATGAGTATCGTGTACTGGCCATGGTCCACATATGACTGGAGACAGGCTGCCTGTAAGCAAAAAGAAAGATATTCAAGATGGCGAAAGGTAAATTTATATAGCATCTTGTTTACGTTAGTAATGCCCAAACACCCCTTTGACTACTGGTTTAACAAACTGACACAATTTTCAATATAATGGAAAAACGGAATCATTTGGGCTATTGAATGTCAATATACTAGTAATTGGTACAACACTGCCTGCATACAACCATGGATCACGGTATCGGTTAAATCGGGCAGATTTATCAAGATGAGGTAGGAACAATCGAAACCTTGTGAATCAAGATGTTTATTGTATGCTATCTTTACATAGCCTGTTTCCGAATACGACTATAGACGCGATACCAGGAGGAATATATGCAAAGAAGATGTAACAAATGACTTTATTACACTACTTTTCAACAGAAAAATTCTGTTTATTTCATTGTGTATTTAGGGGCTCATGTATCCCCGTCATGAATTATTTTAATACATATGATCAATTGTGGACATCGAAATAAAAAGGTAGGCTTTATGGAACAAAATGATCAAATCATAATTAACTTGTATTATGACAGGTACAATGTATATCGCCTTAAGGATTACATATGGATTTTGATTTTGATCTGCATCCACTCTGTCTGAAATAAAATTACGCCCGCGGCAATAAATAACAAATCTGCAGAGGAAAATAAAAATATCTTTAAGTCCAAATCAATGATTAATAAAAAGAAAGATGATAAATAAATATGTCAAAAGGTGGGATGAGGTTAATAAACAATGAAAATCGAATAGGAAACGCTGTTTATCTGCCTTTAAAAGGTACTAAAACTGCCATTAAATGGTTTTACGAGAAAATCAAGAATTTACTAGTCCCTGAATGGTGTATAGGACATAAGTGACGGGACCTCACTAATTGTAAATAGGAATTTTATTATCCGAAGCAAAATTTACCGTTGATATGATTAGCGATATACTAGTGAGAGCGGTAAGGGAGACATGGTACTAAAAAGGTCGTACCTGATAGCCCTGATACCTCATAAATAATTGATGTATCTTTTATGTTTTGTATTGTAATTACTCACTTAAAGCAGATATGAAATGGTATTTTTTAACCTAAAGGAATCAATATAATTTTTTGATAAATGTATTTGGACATATTTTCTCATCAGTAGTGCGAAAACTATTTCACTCTAACGATCGTTATAGCTGCTTAATAAGCAATATTCGAATTGGTTGTGACGTTATTGGCCCCCACGTGATCTCTCACTGGTCCCCACATGGCCCATAACGTCATAATGCCAAAATGTTTTGTTTTGGTTTACACTACAATCCTATGGTTGCCGTGACGTTGTGATTACTAAGGAACCAATAAACCAAAGCTATATTTTCTATATGACGTTACTTATCACGTGGGGGCCAATTTGATTGATCAGTTAGTTTTATTTCGTTATTTATGACCATTAGCAGTTATCTAACATTTATTTTATAATGACTATCGCAAGAACTCTACGTTGGGCTTACAAAGGAGAAAACCGCATTTTTGTAGCTGCAAGTTGAGAAAAGCTATTTCAGTTGTCCTTTAAATGTTAACTCATTTGAACTCCGTTTATATATTGTGGGAAATGTATATAATACTTATATTTGTTATGTTTTTCATATTCGTTTAAGACTAATTGAATTTGCTGTAATAACCGTAACATATGAAAGCATATATTTTAAAATGATCATCCGTGGTATTTTGGTTTTGCTTCGTGATTATGGTTTCAAATTGATTATGGTATTTAGTTAACTACACTTTAGATCCTATAATGGAATGTTATGCGTTGCATGTATCTTACTTTCACCATTGCTCCTACATAGTTCAAATCATCAATTGATTTTCCACATTACATCTGGGGTTACTACACGCCTTTCAATCGAAAGAAGAAGTGGTCACGAAAAAAGATTTTATATAGTTTGATATGTTGATTACCAGTCATGTTTTAAGAAACCAAATAGTTTTTTATTTGGTGTTTTATTTGTATGAATGGTATAACCTGCTGTGTTCTAATTATAGAGTATTCGATTCTCTTTTTTTAGAATTACGATTGCGCTCTTTGCTCCAACATTTATTAAGACTTACTTAGATTAAACTAATCACATTAGTGGAAAGCACCGATGTTACCTCATGGCAGGAGGAAAAATCACACAAACTTTTTTCAATTAGACCGATTGACGACAACATTAATTTAATTTTGCAATGGCGTGCAGCAGAGATATCACCTTGGAATTCGCCTCTGAAGTTGTCACTACATCGTATTGCACGATCATGATATCTTAACAATATGGGACTTTAATTAACAATGTTGTCTAAACTGCAATGCTACGTGAAATGATGGCAATGCTTTTAATATGAGTTGTTGTCACAATGCCTATCAGATTTATGCCAATGTTTTAGATGTGACACAATACCATGTAAATACTTTTAGGTGACATATTATCACCCCAGGAGATAAATGCTTATCTTTTAAATGTGACATGTGTCACAATGCTGGGAAGATTAGTACCAATGCTTTGACTGAGGCATGTTGGCACAGTGCCGGGGAGATTGATACCAATGCTTTCACTGTAACATGTTGTCACAATGCCAGGGAGATTGATACCAATGCTTTCACTGTAACATGTTGTCACAATGCCGGGAGATTGATACCAATGCTTTCACTGTAACATGTTGTCACAATGCCGGGAGATTGATACCAATGCTTTCACTGTAACATGTTGTCACAATGCCGGGAGATTGATACCAATGCTTACACTGTAACATGTCGTCACAGTGCCAGGGAGATTGATACCAATGCTTTCACCGTGACGTGTTGTTACAATGCCGGGGAGATCGATACCAATACTTTCACTGTTACATGTTGTCACAGTGCAAACTTTCACTGTACATGCTGTCCCAGTGCCAGCTTTCACTCTTAGATGTTGTCACAGTGCCAGGGAGATTGATACCAATGCTTTCACCGTGACATGTTGTCACAGTGCCAGGGAGATTGATACCGATGCTTTCACTGTAACATGTTGTCACAATGCCAGGGAGATTGATACCAATGCTTTCACTGTAACATATTGTCACGGTGCCGGGGAGATTGATACCAATGCTTTCACCGTGACATGTTGTCACAATGCCGGGGAGATTGATACCAATGCTTTTACCGTGACATGTTGTCACAATGCTGGGGATTGATACCAATGCTTTCACTGTAACATATTGTCACGGTGCCGGGGAGATTGATACCAATGATTGCACTGTTACATGTTGTCATAGTGCCAGGCTTTCACTGTTACATGTTGTCACAGTGCCAGGGAGATTGATACCAATGCGTTCACTGTGACATGTTGTCACAATGCCAGGGAGATTGATACCGATGCTTTCACTGTGACATGTTGTCACAATGCCAGGGAGATTGATACCGATGCTTTCACTGTAACATGTTGTCACAATGCCAGGGAGATTGATACCGATGCTTTCACTGTAACATGTTGTCACAATGCCAGGGAGATTGATACCGATGCTTTCACTGTAACATGTTGTCACAGTGCCAGGGAGATTGATACCGATGCTTTCACTGTAACATGTTGTCACAATGCCAGGGAGATTGATACCGATGCTTTCACTGTAACATGTTGTCACAATGCCAGGGAGATTGATACCGATGCTTTCACTGTAACATGTTGTCACAATGCCAGGGAGATTGATACCGATGCTTTCACTGTAACATGTTGTCACAATGCCAGGGAGATTGATACCGATGCTTTCACTGTAACATGTTGTCACAATGCCAGGGAGATTGATACCGATGCTTTCACTGTAACGTGTTGTCACAATGCCAGGGAGATTGATACCGATGCTTTCACTTTAACATGTTGTCACAATGCCAGGGAGATTGATACCAATGCTTTCACTGTAACATGTTGTCACAATGCCAGGGAGATTGATACCGATGCTTTCACTGTAACATGTTGTCACAATGCCAGGGAGATTGATACCGATGCTTTCACTGCAACATGTTGTCACAATGCCAGGGAGATTGATACCGATGCTTTCACTGTAACATGTTGTCACAGTGCCAGGGAGATTGATACCGATGCTTTCACCGTAACATGTTGTCACAGTGCCAGGGAGATTGGCATCAATGCTTCAACTATGACATGTTGTTAGTGGTGAGGAGACATATGCTTCTAAGATAACGTATGTGGTATTTCCGATATCACCATTATGAGACACGTGGTAGTTAAATATAGATAGTATTCAAAGATAGTAAGTTTGAGGAACCATTCATTATATTCAGTACAGTAACTGACGAAGTTCTATGGATGAGGACGAAATATAACATATGATCATTCACTCCATATTCCTGTAGCTATAAGTTGTTAAGAAAAACATAAATAAGTTGTTTCCGCTATGTCCATTGTAATTACGATTGTGGGTTGAATTTATCTGTAATCCACTTCATCGATCATTGACGTTCCAGGTGCATATAACGAACTTAGATTATCACATCATCGAGGTAAACGTGTCATTTATCTTGCTACAAGTGGGGTAAAATTGTTCACATGGGTTATTGACATTATGATTTCCTTATGAATATTGATCATATTTATACAATGTAAATATTCGTGCCATTTACATTTTTTGTATGATGATCTCTTTCGCAGTTACTTGAGTTCAAATAGGTTTTACGAATGTCAGGATTCTCTACATGGAATCATTATTGTATATGCAGGCCTGTAGCCATGCCAGAGGTTGGGGTTTGGTGAGTTCTAGTGAACATCTCTTAGATTCATGCAGTCTTTCGCCATTTCGAGCACTTTCCAAGTGATTTCGGGCCAAATTCGAGGTGTTTCATATGGATTTTATGAAAAGTGAAACCCCTTGGCAATAGCTGGCTACGGGTCCGATATGGAATAATTGTGCATTTGAATAAGAAAGTTCAAAAGTAATAGTAACTCATAGTATTTTCCCTTATGAAGCTCGAGAGAGGACGCTG